CCTTTGCTCTACTTGACAGCAAACATCTTGAGGAAAAGGAACCTGCCTTACTTGTTTTCCTACTCTCAGTATAGCATAAGAGTTCAGTAACTAGTTTTTAAATGAATGAGTGGTCAATAAATAGTTCTTTAGATTCCCTTTTATTAGAAATTACAACACTATCCCCCTGCAGAGAATCTGGTTAAAGAAATTGTGACTCAGGGACACTGAAAAATAAAATCCAATATAGGTGATGGGATGACAATAAGAAAGTAGACTAAGCTTGCATGTCTTGCCTCTGTCCAGTAAAAATTTCAAATCTAAAATAGATATTCTTGGATCAGCAGAAATGCAAAAGACCAATAGAATAATACTAATAAGGAATGAACTATGTGCATCAATATACACTCCAAACTTTACAAGTTTTAGTATTAGGAGATGATATAAACCAGATCAGAAAAAGTCATTTAAATGCTAAGTGCAAAACAAATGGTCAAGATAAGCAGTGACAAAAGGGACATATAATTAAAGTGATGATAATCTTGCTCTAGCTGCCACCTTGACCCCAATAACTTGCATTTTCTTCATGGATTCCTGAATTTCCATCAACTTGGAAAAGATAATAACAAATCCTTCTTAAATGTTATTAACAGTTTGGCATTTGTCATGTTAATCCTCATAATACCCTAAGAGGAAATATCATTGATCCAGTTTTATAGATGAGCAAGTTGAAATTCAGGTCTGCCTGACTCCAAAACCTATGCTCATCTTTATTTTTTAACTGAGATATAATTATATATAATAACGTGTAAATTTAAAGTGCGTTGATTTGATACATTTGTGTATTGCAATATGACTACCGGCTTAGTGCTAGCTAACACCTCTAGCATGCAACATAATTATCATTTCTTTTTTCTGGTGGGAACAATTAAGATATGGTTTCTTAGCAACTTTGAAGTTTATAGTACAGCATTGTTGACTATCATCTCTACTCTGTGCATTAGCTTTCCAGGATGGATTTATCTACCAGTTTTAAGGTTCCCCTTAAAAAACATCTCTCTTCTTCCCCCACATCCCTACCCCCTGGTAGCCACCATTCTGCTTCTGTGTTATTGCTGTTATTTAATTGCTAACTTGTGTCCGATTCTTTTGCAACCCCCTGGACTGTAGCCTGCCAGGCTCCTCTGACCATGGGATTTTCCAGGCAAGAATGCTGGAGTGGGTTGCCATTTCCTTCTCCAGAGGATCTCTGCTTCTATGAGTTTCAGCTTTTTAGGGTTTTTTTTTTTCTGCTTCTATGAATTCAGATTTTTTAGATTTCACATGTAAGTGACATAGAGTATGCGTCTATTTCCTCCTGACTTGTCTCAGTTAACACAATGCCCTCAAGTTCCATCCATGTTGTCACAAATGGCAGTGCTTACTTCTTTCTCATGGCTACATAATATCTACCAGTCTGTCTGTCTGTCTATATCACATCTTCTTTATCTGTTCATCCATTAATGGACATTTGGGTTTTTTTCATATCTCAGCTATTCTGAAAATTGCTGCAGTGAATATGGGAGTGCAGATATGTCTTCAGACTCCTGACTTCATTTCCTTTGGATGAATATCAGGAGTGGGATTGCTAGATCATATAGTAGTGCTGTTTTTAATTTTTTGAGGAAACTTCATGCTATTTTCCAAAGTTAAACCCATGTTCTCTATCACCATCCTCAATTACCTTGTATCCTTAGTAATTTATTGACATCTGGAGGACAAATAGATCAATTTTATAAAAGTAACAGGGTCTCTCACAGACATAGAGAACAGACTTATGGTTGCCAAGGGGGAGGGAGTTGGGGGAGAGAGGGATTGGGAGTTTGGAATCAGTGATGCAAACTATTATATATAGAATGAATAAACCACAAGGTCCCACTGTATAGCACAGGGAACTGCATTCAATATACTGTGCTCAACTATAGTGAGAAAGAATATGAAAAAGAATATATATTTATGTATATCTGAGGCCCTTTGCTATACAGCAGAAATTAACACAATACTGTAAATCAACTATATTTCATAATTTTAAATAATAATAGAGTCTCACTAGTTGCGGATCCAGGGCTTGAATTCACCTGTTTATGTATTTAATTCGGTATGATTTCCATGACACCCCTCTGTCTCTCCATTGCTAGATGTGCTATTGCTTCTTTCCAATCACGTTTGCTCATCTTTTTCTAATGGAGTCATCCAATCCCTTGTCCTTTTTGTTGAGGTTATAGTAGGTTCTGCCTCTCTGCCCCTGAGCACCCATGTCATTTCACTCAGGTTATTGCAAGCCCAGTCACTGCCTTGTATGGAACAGGGACAATTGCCAGTTCTAAGAAGTGACATCTGCTATCTTCTCCTGCTGCAGACATCTCCCCCTCCTGCTATATCACACCCATGCACACACACTGCGTGGCCACCACCCAACTATCCCAACCGCCCAGTAACTGCAGACTCTGCTTCTTGTTCCCACCCCCTTGTGCCTGACCCTTTCTAGTCCAACTGCCCTCCTTGTTTATTTCCTCAATTCCTAGGTCGGCCTTTAAGAAGTCCATAGTGCCCATCACCAAGCAAACATCAGAATTTTAAAAGAATGGATCCATAGAATCAGACTTCAGTTCCTGGAAAGATGATACAGACAAGATAGCCTGAAACTTTCAAACTAAAAATGCTAGGTCAAATATAAAAATCACCCTTTTGTGTGCACAAATCAACTCAGAAGATAATGAGGTGAATTTCTAAGGCCAGGAACAAAGAAGAAATACAAATCCATTTAGGGTAGGTGGACACTGAGGCCACCTGTTACCTTCGGGCCCTGATTGGTAACAGATGACTCAGAGCTGCAGACAGTGACTGCAGCCACGAAATTAAAAGACACTTGCTGCTTGGAAGGAAAGCTATGACTAACCCAGATAGTGTATTAAAAAGAGACATCAGTTTGCCGACAAATGTCCCTATAATCAAATCTGTGGGTTTTCCAGTAGTCACGTACGGACGTGAGCAATGGACCAAAAAGAAGGCTGAGTGCCACAGAATTGATGATTTTGAATTTTGATGCTGGGGAAGACTCTTGAAAGTCCCCTGGACTGCAAGGAGATCAAACCAGTCAATCCTAAAGGAAATCAACCTTGAATATTCATTTGAAGCACTGATGCTGAAGCTGAATCTCCATACTTTGGCCACCTGATGCAAAGAGTCAACTAATTAGAAAAGACCCTGATGCTGGGAAAGATTGAAGGCAGGAGGAGAAGGGAGCCCCAGAGGATGAAATGATTAGACAGTGTCACTGACTCAATGGACATGAATTTGAGCGAACTCTGGGAGACAGCAGAGGACAGAGGAGCCTGGCATGTTGCAGTCCATGAGGTCTCAAAGAGTCGGACACAACTGAATGACTGAACAACAGCAATAGAGCAGGGAAGGTGAATGACAAAGCTGGGAGCTCTTGCAAAATAGGAAGTCAGGTTACAACCTTCCCCGTCCCTGCTCATTGGTTGTGCAGTGCTAAAGCCTCAGGGCACAGATGTACAGAACAGACTTTTGGACTCTGTGGGAGAAGGCAGGGTGGGATGTTCTGAGAAAATAGCATTGAAATAAGTATACTATCAAGGGTGAAACAGATCACCAGCCCAGGTTGGATGCATGAGACAAGTGCTCAGGGCTGGTGCACTGGGAAGACCCAGAGGGATGGGATGGGGAGGGAGGTGGGAGGGGGGATTGGGATGGGGAACACATGTAAATTCATGGCTGATTCATGTCAATGTATGGCAAAGACCACTACAATATTGTAAAGTAATTAGCCTCCAACTAATAAAAATAAATGAAAAAAAAAAAGAAACAGAGAACAATCATAATAAATAAATAAATAAAGCCTCAGGGAAGGTGTCAATGAGAAAAGGCATTGCCCGGGCAGGAGGATTGTGAGGGACATAAAGGGGTGGATGGCTCCCTGTTATTGTGGCCACGGGAAACCTTGCACAAAGGTGGGACATAACTTCACTGTCTTTGCAGCCTAGAAAACCATAGCCAGGAACTTTCTTCTAGAAATGCACCAGCAGAAGCAAGTGTAATTTTTCTCAGCAGGGTGGAACCCTCAGCCCATTTTGACACCTAAGAGACCACAATCTGAGATTTTATTTTAAAAGCAGGTCAACTCATTGAAATAGTCTTGCTGTGTGGTCTGAACCATGGCAGACCTCATTTAGCTATGGTTGAACATCTTAGATCTCCTAGAAAAACACAGCCCCTATAGGCAACTGGACACCAAGTTGGAATATATGTTCTTAATCCTTGCATTCTAGAAGAATCACCAGTGGCAATCATCATTTTGCATTCAAGTTTTGATATCTATCTGGGTATCCACAATTCTTTTACATCCACACACAGATCCAGATCTATTTATAATCAGTATTCTGAAAATGAAGTTACATCATTAATGTCTTATTTTAAATGCTTTCACCTATAAGAAAGGAGCCAAGGAAAACAGGTGGCATGATTTATTCCTATTTCCTTTGTTTTTATTGGAAACCTGAACTCAGAAAGAAAATGTATTTTTTTTTGTTACGTGGTTATGATTTTGTTACCTTAGACTAGTGATTTTATACTTTACTTCCCACCCCACCCCGCTTTTCACTCTTAAGGAATAGAAGCATCCTCTGTAACATGTTTTGAGCAGATAAAGGAGAGTGGTACTCAACAGCATCTGTCTCTGCAAAAGGCCTTGACAGCGAAGTGTGGCTTTGGCGGCCCCATGTGAGTCAGGGGCAATGATGAATACCTGGGTACAGCCTGTGTGTCATTGCTAGGGGACTTTAGTTTACAGGAATGGAACGAGAGGAAAAGTGGAACCTAGTCCACTATCTTGCTCCATAAACACGTGACAGGTGGGAGCCCCCAGACACACGTCAGAACCAAATGACAAAATACCAAATAGCAGTCAGTGCTCACAAACGGTTCTCAGTGGTAGACACACATCAGCAACAATTGGCAAAATGCCCAACGAGCGCTTGGTGCTCAGAAGAGCAGGCAGCCTGGGTGCATACCGGTGGACTTACCTGGTCTCGGAACTTGTCAGCTCGTCCGGATGCATGTTTCCATTCCATGAAGGAAAAGTGTACATTATAGTCAGTGCCAAGCAGTGGAGAAACAGGGAGGATCCCCGAAAGAGATGGTTTCGGCAGCTGCCAGGAACATCCCCCCAAGCCCCTCAGGGCCAGGGAGCCTCAAGCAGCAGCTCCTCACAGCCATCCTGGGGTGTCGTCCTGGCGGCTCTGCTCAGTGAGACCCCCCAGGAGCCAGATATCGTGAGAGCGCAGCAGCCCCACGCTGGGAGCCAAAAACTGTAAGCAATGGTGGGTCCACCGACTTCCCTAGTGGTCCGGTGGCCAAGACTCCCAATGCAGGGGGCCTGGGATTTGATCCCTGGTCAAGGAACTAGATCCCACTTGCCGCAACTAAAGATCCCGAGTGCCTCACCAAAGATCCTACATGTGGCAATGAAGATGCCCCTTGCTGCAACTAAGATCTGGTACAGTCAAAAAAAAAAAAAAAACCAACAACGTAGAAGTTCTGAAGTATAAACATCATTTTAAAACAAAGTGGGTCCAGCTGCTTGCCACTCAAAAGCCAATAAAGAGCCAGTAAAGAGGCGGTCATGTGTGACCCTTTGCAGCACTGAGCCCAGGTGGCTCAGACGGTAAGGTGTCTGCATGCAATGCGGGAGACCTGGGTTCAATCCCTGGGTCGGGAAGGTCTCCTGGAGAAGGAAATGGCAACCCAACTCCAGTATTCTTGCCTGGAGAATTCCAGGGACAGGAGCCTGGTGGCCTGGCGTCTATGGGGTCACACTGTGTCGGACATGGCTGATGTGACTTAGCAGTAGCAGTGGTTTTGCCATACACTGACATGAATCAGCCATGGATTTACATGTGTTCCCCATCCTGAACCCCCCTCCCACCTCCCTCCTCTTCCCATCCCTCTGGGTCATCCCAGTGCACCAGCCCTGAGCACTTGTCTCATGCATCCAACCTGGACTGGCATCTTGAAATAGGTCATTGGTGGTCTGACCAACGTCATCTTGATTGTCTTAAGTACAGTTAATGTTCAGTTCCAGGGCTGGTTTGTTCCCATTTCCTTGAGGTCAATTCTCAGAACTGTGTCAGCTTTTGTGATGGAATAGGAAATGGCAACCCACTCCAATATTCTTGCCTGAAAAACTCCAAGGCAAGAGGAGAATGGTGGGCTATGATCTAAAAAGTCAGACACAACTGAGTGATTGAGCACGCAGATGTCATGGCTACAGTCTGCTCATCATGTTGTGGTGAGGCTGGTGGGGCTTTCAGTATCTGTAAGACAGCTCACAAGATATGGCTCAGAATATTGCCTGTAGCCCTTGAGGAGGAACAAAAGGTCCTTGACTTTTGCTTACTTGACTCAACTATTATTGTTTTGTCCTGTTTGACTGCTCTTATTTGCTTATGCATTTTCTCCCTTCTCTGATTAAACTTTTTGTCTGGCTAAAGTTTCTCTACAGACAAAAGACAGACAAAGGCCACAGGCGAGGGACCCCAGGGTGCTGCTGCATTTCATTTGGGGTTGTATACAGGATAATTGTATCGATTTGGGTGGAAGCATGACCTTGTCATTGTCTTTATGGTTTAAGGGGATGGTTATGGGTGTTCAGTAGACAAAGAATAGACTGTGATTATCGGTTTTATGTGTTGGCTTGGTTAGGCTACAATCCCAGTTGTTCAAATATGAAACTAGGTGTTGCTGTGAAGGTATTTGAGGGTATGACCAAGATCCATAATCACTTGACTTTAAGGGAGGTTATCATTGATAATTTGAGTGGGCCTGATTTACTCAGTTGAAAGGCTACAAGAACAGAACTGAAGCTTCTTTAAAGAAGAAGAAAGTTTGCCTGTGGAGAGAGCTTCAGCATATGCCGGAGGGTCCCACCCTGCTCTTCTGGATCTCCTGCCCTGTAGATTTCAGCTCTCCTCCAGAAGCTGACTTAGATGGAGGTTAGAATGCAGAAATTGCATTGGGGCTATAACTGTACATAACACCTATTAGGAAGGAAATGGGAGCAAGATTGGACAGAATGTATGAGTCTACTGGACTCAGGTTATAACCCTCAGCCTCTCAGGAAATTTGGAGGCTGAAGAGAATTTGGAGAGCGAATTTAGATACTTTGAGGTGCTAGCTGACATGTATATACAGAATAAAATAAATCAGGTACAGAGGCCAACACAATATTGTAAAGCAATTATTCTCCAATAAAAATCATAATTAAAAAAAAAACTATGCATTGAAGTCCCTGTAAAAAAGTAAATCATGTAAAAGAAGAAATTAAATACAAAACAGTATGTTTAGAATGACTTAGTAAGTTGCTAAGTAAATTTCTAAGTAAACTAAATAAACTTCTGCACACACACTCTCGTTGTCTTTTTAGAACATAATTCTTAATAATATTGGCCCAAGGTAGAGGGCAGGATTGCTTCTTGAGGAACAAAAAAATCATACTTTTTAAATGTATAAACCAGATGTACATAAAGTGCATAAACAGATATATGATATATCTGTGGCATTAAAATTTCATGGCAGGAGTAATCTGGAAAAGATGTCTTAACAAGGCTCCGTGCGTGCTAAGTCGCTTCAGTCATGTCCAACTCTTTGCGACACTATGGACTATAGCCTGCCAGGCTCCTTTGTCCATGGAATTCTTCAGGCAAGAATACTGGAGTGAGTTGCCATTTCCTCCTCCAGGGGATCTTCCTCACCCAGGGATTGAACCTGGGTCTCTTACATCTTCGGCATTGGCAGGCGGGTCCTTTACTGCTCCTGACACCAGGGAAGGCCTAACAAGGCTCCTTGCTGCTGCTGCTGCTGCTGCTGCTGCTAAGTCGTGTCGTGTCCAGACTCTGTGCGACCCCATAGACGGCAGCCCACCAGGCTCCCCCGTCCCTGGGATTCTCCAGGCAAGAACACTGGAGTGGGTTGCCATTTCCTTCTCCAATGCATGAAAGTGAAAAGTGAAAGTGAAGTTGCTCAGTCGTGTCTGACTCTTAGCGACCTCATGGACTGCAGCCTACCAGGCTCCTCTGTCCATGGGATTTTCCAGGCGAGAGTATTGGAGTGGGGTGCCATTGCCTTCTCCAAACAAGACTCCTTAGGGGATGGTAATTTAAAAAGTTTTAGAGAAACTTTTGTTTTTTAGGAAAACAAACATGAAAAAAGGTCACTAAAAATTATACCAACTGGACATAATTATTATTACACATGTAGGGATGTGTCTGTGCACACATACACACTTTTTTAATAGATAATTTTACTTTTACTAAGATGGAATTATACAATGATTGCCATTTTGTAAATTTTTTCCACTTCGTATTTAGAGCAAAGATAAATTACAGTATAATCTTAATGTCTGCATGATATTCTGTGATATAATTGTATTATAATATTTTTAACCAATCTCAATTAATAGAGCTTCATATTACAGCAATCTGTATAACAGTAAACATTGCTCTGCTGAACATCCTGGTCTTTTTTATTATTGCTGTTTGAAAATAAATTCCTAAGAGGAAGAGTTAACATCTACATACCATTTTTGAAGCATGGATACATGTTGCCAAGCTACATGTATCTTGTCACATCAATGATTAGATTTTTACCATTCTGTTAATGCTTTCATAGCATTACTTTGTATAAGAATAACATAACTGATTTAATAATGCAATATTTAAGCTGCTGCCTTTTTTCCCCTTTGCTATTATAAGCTGTAAAAACAATGTAAAAGCTGTCAAAGCAATGCAAGTCTTGACTGATGGTTTTTGCAGGAAGAATTCCTGAGTGAAATTATTGGACCAAGAGTAAACAATTAATGCAATGCTCAAATGTGTCTGACTCTGCAATCCCCTGCCAGGTTTCTCTGTCCATGGAATTTTTCAGGCAAGAATAGTGGAACAAGTTGCCATTTCCTCCTCCAGGGGATCTTCCTGACCCAGGGATCGAACCCACATCTCTTTCATCTCCTGCATTGGCAGGCAGATTTTTTACCACTGCACCACCTGGGAAGCCTCAACAATTAATGGATATTTATCAGTTTCATACTTCTGGGAGTCATGAGGGGCTCCCAGAGGAGGAAAGCTACACTCCAAGGAACGCAGACCTTCATTTTCAAGGCAAAGTGGAATTTACATAGCTTTTGGCTCTAAGCATCTCTATTTCAATGTATTCAAATATGGAATATTCTCAAGTTTCTCGTGCTGATGAAATAAACGTCCAGAATCCTGTTGTATGTTAAAAAAAAAAAAAAAGTAAAGAAAGCATTCACACCAAAGTTTTAAGGTCCTTGAAATACTGTTCCAGTTCAACCTCTCTTTGAAGGTAGTTAACTATTTGTAAGACACAGAATTTCTGGCCTCATGGCTCATCATGCATGTATGTCTCTCATAGAACCCGCCTCATAGGATCTACCTGAAGTCCCACCTGCTTCCTGTTCTGCCTCCTTGTGGATGATAAGGAGAACAAAAGATTTCTTCCACTCCTAACACCTGAGGCCTCTGCTGTTTCCAGTGTTAGGGACAGGCATCAGGCTGGAAAATCATAGCTCCTCTCTAAAAAGCAGCTTCCAAAAAACAAAGTATAAGAAGCTTTGTACTGGTTTCCTGGTCTACAGTTACTTTGGTTTATTTTGTTTACATTTTTAGCTTTGGACTTGCCAGGATGAGAATATTGTGTTATACATCACCTGTTGACACAAATCTTGGAAAATTATTTCTGGCTAAGATCCTTAATCCTGCTCCCAGAGCACTCGCTTGCTTATTTTTGCTTCTGTTTCACAGTGAAAGCACCAAGGGGCAGGATATCCAATATATGAGCCATCAGAGTCTTTATAAAATCATAATGAGTCTTCCTGTTATCCAGAAAGGCACAGAAAGTCACTCCAAGTTACATCATTCTGTTGTGGAAACTCATGCTAGATTGTTTGCGTTTTTGTTTTAGATTTCAAAGCACCTTTCCCATCTGTTTCCTACTCCTCTCACATAGAGCCGGTCTGAGGGAAGAGAAGTGAGACTACTAACTCTGGGCCAGAGGTTTGATTGCCTGAAGTGGTATATAAGAGCTGGTGACAGAAGCTCCTGTGTTGGTGCTGGTCAGAGCTGGTGTTGGAAGCATCATCTGGTGGAGAAACATCTCTGCTTCCAGGCAGCCAGCTGGGAGTCAGAAGTATTACATCAACATGCATTGACTTCTGAATCTCATCTCCTACCCTCTCAAAATCTCTCCTCAGGTCATCTCATCTAATTAAAGAATGAATGTAGGAATCAAAGGTGACTCA